AAAAAAGCAAATAGTAATAAAATAAATTTTTATTGTTAAAAAAAAAGCGATAAGAAAATTGATATATGGCTTAGATTTAAATTAAAATTTATCTAAATTTTGATAAATTTTAAATGATTTTAATTTTTTTCTCTTTCAATACTTTATAGAAGAAATGATTAAAAATTTTTAATTAATTACGAAAAAAGTGATTTTTAATCCATATTTATTAAATGTATAAGTGATCCAACAGCTTCAACGGCGAACTTCATTGTAAATATATTTTTGATCTTATGTATATCACACAGTTCGACTTCCGTATCTGTCAGCTCTCTGGTGCTATTTGTCCGTTAATAGACTGATCTACGAATCTAAAGACTAAATATTCCAAATAATGATGTTTTAATTTTCAAATTGTGCATTCTACTTATGAAGAAGTTGGAGTCCATCAAATCTTACACTTCTGCATCTATTTGGGATATTTTTTTATTCCACATACTTAAGAACTATTGCATAATCAGAAAAATTTAATCAGAAAAATAAGCTTAGTTGTCAGACCAGATATCCATTACCATATTGAAAATTGCAAGTAAGCTTGATTATCGGATCAGATATTCTTTAGAACAGTATATTAGGAGTTGGACAAATGGTTTATCACTTAAGGTGTTGAAAACATTTTGTTTTTCTTTTGTGTAATGAATCACTTTCTTTGAGATATTCTAAATAAGCAAACCTTGTAACTACAAACACCTACATTATGGATCTATTCAGTTATTACGAGATATTTTAATAATACAAAAACTTTTGATTATTTTGGCATGTTATTGCGGTTTTTCTCGATATGTGCGACTACCACATAGTTTCTTTGAGGTTGGATGGATGAATTAACTAACTGCTTATGAAATGCACAAAGTGCACGATGTGAAGAGGACCTCAGAAGCTACTTGCGAGAAAGCGCTGCTGAATTGTTATGCAGTTTGATTAGCTTGTTTTCTTGCCATATCAAATTTGATTTGAGAGTTCAGTGTGGAAAATAAATAATTACCAAGGCCGCAGTCAACACTCATCCTGAGAACAACTGGAGGCCAGTTGGTGCAGTGCTGATAACATTCTTCTCCTCCCACTACTTTCGATTTTCATAAAAGAAACTCGAAGGATGCATAAATGCCTTCAATTCTCAACAGGATGTTTCTTCGCACCCTCATCCTTTGTTCTTACATTTTTACAATACCAGCGGTTCGTTACTTTTTCCCATTAGATTTACTATTTGCAGATTAAATATACATTTCTGAAAATCAATAAGGAAAGAGTAATCATAAGTATTTTCTTGTTATAAATAAATTGGTAAGCAACGAATGAAATGAAATTTGAGGTAATAAGTGTACGAGTTATAAAACGCGATACGGCGGCAATATTACGAAAAATGCATAGCAATTTTCGGGAGAACTGTTTCCCAAGACCTAGTGGTGGATGTGCGTGTACTGTGAAACAAAAAAAATGGTGTGGAAACTGTGGAAACCATCGAAAATTACGATTCCGATGAACAGTGCAAATCAGACATTGCAGGTAGCTGCATGTTATTGAGTATTTGAAATCTTCGGGAAATTTCTGAGGGCCATCTTCGAAAAAATGGATTCAGTATTGGTTCTTTTCCGAACATTTTTAGAAGAGTCGAAGTTGATCAAATTGTTAGGAGTGGTGTGAAAATTCAGCAAGTTTTAAGTGGGAATTTATGAGCCAATTAGCTAGTAATAAATGCTTAAGCTAGTTTCTAGCGTAGCTCTTTGAATAACCTTTTCGAGATAAACATTACATCAGCAACAAAAGTGACATCCAATATTACAATCCACTCTAAACAATGTAATGTACAGTAGAACGAAGCTAAGCACGGCCTGCATACATCCTGCATTTGCTTTGACTGAGATACTGATTTGAATTGCTTCTAGTCTCACTGTAATTCTGTCTTGTTTGCAACTTATTTTGATATGCTTCTCAATTCTTTATAGGGCAATATTAGTTGATATATGGTAACGAATGACTGATTATAAGATATCATATCATCTTTACACATTACATAAATTAGTTTGCAGTTGTGTGCATTGTGCAGGACGCGGCACTTTCTTTCATCCTCTTAGAAATAACGGGAAGGGTATATGTGAAGCAACCATGGAGAAATGTGAATATGTAGTATCATACCGACCAAATAAGGCCACTTCCCACTAGCCATGACAAAGAAACAAAAAATCCTTCGACTTGCATGATCTTTAAAACATCCTATAAATCGAAGTTTCATTAGCATCTAAATTAAACCGTTTATTAGATTCCAAATTCGGTTCATCACTTTTCTATCGTCAGTGCTGGACATGCAATTGACAAAGTATTGTTCAAGCATAGATATGACAAGTCCTATCAGAAAACAGGCATCATTAATCAGTTGTTTTTTTGCACATTGTCCAAGGCAGGCATCAGTTAAGTAAACCGATGAGAAACACTGTACATCAAAGTTTGCATTTTCTGAACTCCAATAAAATCAGAGTTTTTTTCTAGTGCAGACAATACATGATAAAAAACGGCTCAATGTGGAAATCAAGGACCGGTATGGTAATTACAAGGAAGACTGCTTCCCGTTACCGTCTGGGGGTTGTAGATGCGTTGGAAAAGATAAAGCTGGTAATGAAGTGGTAAAGAAATATGATGATGGGGCGTTATGCAAAAGTTTACAGGTATGCTACAAAGTTCATAGTAAAGCTAATGATGGAAATTATGTAGGTATAGCCAGTAAAGAAATCCTCGCTTTGGAATTTCTAAATGCATTTCGAAATTTTCAAAGTTGCGACAACTGTTTCCATTTCTCTAAAAACACTGTAAACTTGACCAATAATGAAAGTTTTATTTGTTTACTACATGTTTGCTTCACAGTTCTAACCTACTAATAACAAACATTTGTAGTTAGACTAGATTTATTATTCTGTTAATTCGTTTTTGTTTTCGGATAGTGGACATTTATATTGAATTTAGGTAAACTAGAAAATGGGTAAGTTTAGAAAGGTTATTCGTTTTCAAACATTCATCCAAGTTTCATATCATGGCTTTGCGTATTTGCAAATTTTTTCATTTAAGTTTCTTTCGAAAGTGTGTAAATGAATAGTGCTCCTTGATCCTATAACCGATAGAAGATACTCGCGCATGTAGATCAGGAACAGTCATACACTTTCTTAACGATTTTGATATTTCGCTACACACCTCATACTAAACCATAGTTTTACATTTTAATGCATATAATTCTACTAGAAATCTCCACAAGATTGGAATTATGCTTGTCGAAATCGCCACATGATTACTATTTTAGTTTTTTGATTTATATTTCTCCATACCAGCAAGTCGATCTACAGTAACCAAAATGGTCTATATTCGATAATTTTTTAATTGCTAAAAAAGTGATGTACACCATTTACATCAACCCATTATCCTGCATCCTTATATGCCTCATTTAATTCAAAGGTTATGCAAATCCATTCATTTAATCGAAACATCTTTGAGTAAACTTGTCTGAAATATCATCACTGCTTTCGACCATCAGATCTAAAATCATCTTAAGAGTTCAAAATAAACTTTAAATTTGAGATATTTCAATGTTACGGCAAAAAACCGAGATTTAACCACATCCTAAGCTCAAATCTTTAACCCCAACAGCTGACATGTACACTCTTCATACTGAACTCTCGTATTTTGTCACTTAGAAGACATCATACCTAGAAGAGTAAAAGAACAGTTAACGAACGGCCATCGCAGAATATTCGTGATCCAGTTCGGGAACGAGCTCAAGCAAATTATCGTGCTGTCATTAATGAGTTAAATGAAAAATTCAAGGGACTCAAAGAAGGATGCTTTCCAAGACCTAAGGGTAAGTACAATTCTCAATTTCAAATTTCAAAAAAAAAGGTCATTAGTCAGATTTAAATGTGTACTTAGGTTAAACCAATTAATGTTTGTAAAATGACTAGCAAAGTGTTTTGTTCGCCTAACTTCCTAGTTTAATAACCAATGATGTGATTACAAATCTTGATGCAAATGCTAATTTTGTTAATTCTGGAAATTCAAGGATGTTTATGCGTGATTGGAAAGGATCGAAACGGGCGAGATATCACGGAACGGCGAGAGAAGGATCGAGATTGTAAGTGCCAACCTGGTGAGCGTGGCCATGGATGTCCAATAAGCGGCGCCTAATATCAGAAACAATAATGTTCTTCATTAATTTTTGGTGAAAATAGTTATTCCGCATATTTTTATCGTCTGTGAGGCTATCCAATCACTCTTTAATTTTCAGTCAAGAATAGCAGTGGACACGGTTTTGATTCTTTCATCGATTTTTGATAAATTGTCAATAATAAGATGACTAATTAAATGAAATAATAGTTTCTTAAACTTTACCTGTAGTTATTCTGAATTTTATGAATTACTTGATTAGCAGTGAATGCTTAGTTTTTAATATTTCCACAACTTTTGCACGGAAACTTTATTTCGGTTCATGATAAAAATCTTTTAATTGATACGAGCAGCAGCTGTTGCAGTGGTAACACGCAACCAATTTGAATAATGTTAAGACTGTGACTTTACTTGACCCATACATTTTAAATAAAGATATTGCAAATTTCCGATTTATGAATTGTACTCATTTGAAATTTATGCTTACCTGAGCCTCGAACTTTTTACAACTGTTTGACTATTCTCGAAATTTTGTTCAAAAAAGCTTGAAGTGTTAGTTTTTAAGACAAGTAATTCTGCTTCAGACATACTCAGAAAAACAATGAGTTGTCAACTGTTGATTTGTTATGGCAGTTATTTGGAAATTTCTTCACTGTCAAGTATATTCAACTTTCTCTATGCTTTTAATGTTGGGCTTTTTTAGACTTAATTCCAAAAATCCAACGCGCTGCCAAGAATAGTTTAAAAGTGAGTAGGATTAACAAGCAGATGATAGTTTTCCATTAAATATTTTCACCACTGATAGCATCTGAGGAATCAGATCACCATCCTGGCATGAAAAATTGTTGCCATCTCGTGACTTTCCGGAAATGAAACATTTTTTGGTTTATCAGTTTTTAATTTTTCTTGTCGCAGATACAATTTTTCCTGTACAAGTTTTTAAAGGATGACCTTCAACTCATGAGCCGCGATTGTGAAATTCTTCAATTGGCTTGTCCTATTTCTGGGAGAGATTCAATTGATGTTTTGGATTTTCGAAACTTGGTATTAACAATTTTGTAAACTGAAACCCTAATTTAGTAGTTCTATCCTGTCGCACGGTTCTGTGGAAGTTTGACGCACCTGCTGAAGTACACTGGCAAAAGAAATGTCTTGAAAGCTTGTGGTTGTGTTCCTACTTTTTCATAAAACTTCATAGTGATTTCATGCCTAATTTAGATTCTCCCACTTTCCTAACCTCATTCAAAATGCCAAGCGTGTCTCGAAAATACTTGCTTTTTCAACTTTCATAAAAGTTCCAAGCGGAAATTGCTCTATATGTAAAGAGGGACTTATTTCTGAAAAGATTATCATAAAAATCGCAGTTGACATCGTCTCTGCGTTCCAACAGTCAAAAATTTGAAGTAAAAGTACTTTTATTCATGAAATAAACTCCTTTAAACTCCTTCCATGGATGTTAATCTTTATTACAGTTATTAATGAAAAAGTTGGAAACCTTGGAGATCCACAAATTGTGTCAAAGATAATTGTTTCAAGGTCATTTTATAGCAAAATCATATCTATTGAGAATTTCCACACCAAAAGACAATAGTGATAAGTGAACAATATGAAACAAAGCTTGATGTAAACTATTTCAGTATGACATTTCTTAAGTTGGTATTTATCTGAAAGCAGTTCTATCCTTTATATCTTTGTTTATGAAGTTGAAAACAATTTTAGAATTTATGGAATTTCGCGCAAAACTGATTAAAAAGTTCGTAAGGAAAATATGCAATAATAAATATAAACTTTCCAGTGGCGAATCGATATATATATTTCAGCTATCAAGTTCAATTTGAACATTAATCGATAGCTAAACGAAGATGAAATGATTTCTTTGTGACCATTCTTCACACAGTTCCTCCACTGTAATAACAGCACACCATACACTGAAATTTTATACGGCTTGTTTATTTTTTCAACGTCCTTAATTCGATTCTTTCAAAATGGCAGCAGTTTCTATGCTATCGAAACGGTTCATAATGAAATATAGCAGAGAAAAATAGATGGAACGTAGTTTCAACTATTTTTACATTTTACGTTTTTCAAAAGTAATGGTGCTTTAAAAAGAGGAAATACGTCTTACAAACATTTGACATACATGCAATTTTTCGAAAAATTCATTTTGTCAAGAAACTAGAAATTGCTTACAGATCTCTGTCCAGCTATCTGGTTACTTGTGCAGATAGATTGGCCTGGACACTGACCATTAGGACCACAAGAACCAATCTGCACACCAATATGACAAGTGCACTGTGTGTTTGCATCATGTCGAGGAACTACCGGAAGAGGGGACATCAGATATCCAGTTGAAGCATGTGGTAGCTGCGTTATTGATGCGTACGTTGCAATAATACTTGGGCTATGGGTTATTGTTGGTATTTTCTCTGGTTGCACTCCTTAAGTCCACAGTTTGATAAGGGAATTCAATATCATTAATTTGGTAAAACATGACATCCACTTATATTTTCACACTTTTTGATCTATTTTCGCTTTCACCATTTGACCACTTTTTCAGGATCTTTTACGATGTGATATGATGAAAAGGCTAAAACACTGGAAAATATGCTATCAAAAAGTATTTTTTTGGATGTGACAAATGGATTGTGCAACGATGCAAAACAGGTAAAAAACAAACAGCAACTTACTGGGATTCCATACGCAAACCTGCAGTATAGCATTGAAGATGAGGCCTGGTTCGCAAGGCATACGTTGCCATCTCCCGCAATACAAGCTATTCGGTGCCGGCTGGCACTGCAGAAAATGTGATGGATTTTCTGGATCAACAACAAGCGGTTCGATCATCCATGAACAAATTCCCTGATATCTAGCATTCTTGTCACTTTGTCCAACTGCTGCAAATAATAGTTATTCGTAATTAACCAAAATGTTTGACGACTTTGATGGCTCGAATATATCACCTCCACCAGTTATATTTGTTTTATGTTCCAAAATATGGCCTAACTGATAAGATAGGTTTTGAAAAACTAGATCTTTGAATTCTGACTTTAGAGCAGAGAGAATTTAGTTTTATGTCTGACGCAATCTTGAAAGTCTTATTGGGTACACAATCATCTACACTTTTCATTGTGTTCTAAATGGAAAGATGTGACATCGGAAACTAAATATGCGGCTTGAATTAAGACTCTCTCTTCTGAGAATAATTGTTCAAGCATTTATACTCGCATTCGCTTGATTGATTCAAACCTATGGCACATGGTTGCGGTCCAATCATAGCTGAATGCTGTTCTTTTCCTGCCTCTCCCTGTATCTGTGGGCAATACAGTTGTCCATTTCTTAGAAACTGACAGCCTTCTGGGATTTGCATACTCTGGAAGTAATGCATTTATTACAGATTTCTACAAATCAAAGACCACTTCTGTTTATATTGCTGGGAATCATGACTGAGTCGAATTTAGGACATAACATAAATAAAATCAAATTAAATTTAATTAAAATACTTACTAGAAGTCTAGTGACACCGGACAAAGAAGTTGAACCTGATGGACCGCAGATACATACACTATCTGAATTTGAACAGTCGTCGCAATTTCCACCCTAAAATATATTTCCTTTATTTCAGTATTTTACACTACATCAAAATTCTAATAATCCCATAATTATTCTGAGGAAAATTTCCAGATTCCTTTTCTTGGAATCCTACCGCCCAGTCGTCTTTGGTAAGCACTAAATCTTAACTACAACGAAATAGCAAGAAATATGGCCTACAGAGATCATGCATCCTCGTTGACCTTGACAGACCGCCTGACGAGCTTGGCGGATCTGGAATTTGAAAACATTAATTATAGCTTAGAATGTTCAACTTCGAAATTGAGAAAATAGAATTGAATATTCTCTGAAAGCTTTTTATTCATTCCAAAAAATTCTTTAAAAAGAGTTCATCTTTATTCTTAACTCCTTTATATGAATATAACATGAAAGCAATTCCAGCCTATACCTTTGATATGTTCCCTCCATTCATAACTTCATTGTGTGTGACAAGTTCAATGATTATAACTTTCGGGCATTTACAATTCTCTCCATACACGGAACACGAGCATTGCTCCTTTTGTTGTTCTGTTCTTTTCACCATATACTGTACAATCAAATATCATCATTTTTTTAGTTTTAGGAATTAGGACAAGATTTTTCATTTAATTTGCAAACTAACCTTTAACCGATTTCTCAGCTGAGGGCAGAATTTGTATTTTTCAGCACTGGGCCCGTCGCACAGCTGCTGTCGACTCTTGATAAATTCAATAACTTCACATTCTCGAGCTGATGCTACGAAATGATATCCAATCGGGCAATCCTTTGATATCCAAATGCCAAGATCAGTGCTAAAAGATATTAAAACAAATTTTCGCAAATAATTTTTTTCAGCTAGTTGAGTTTGTCGATTAAAGACCATTTGAAGACATCATTATCTAACCGATTTCCAGCATTTTCGGCTTGGAATACGCATTCGACGTATTTGTTTGGATCAGTCGTTGGTCGTGGATGAGATGATAATTGGCAAATATCACCGATAATACTACGCCAAATCACTGAAGAGCGGATGCTATCACCCTCACTATTGTCTACGTTATTTCCTTCTGATTTCATATCACATTGTACTGAAACAAAAACTTCCAATTACAGCTACACAAATAAATATTTAGTCATATGTATTGTTTGCATAATATTAATAATGCTTTCTTTCAATCAGGAAGCGCTCCCTGTCTCTTCTGACATTTCATCTATTTCACATTTCATCTTGCCAGGGAATAAACTTAGTTAAGAACAACTTAATTTTCGTGTAACTATGATTACTGAAGAACCAGTGCTGAATATATCCAGGGAATTTCTATTTGGACAGTAATGAAGAGAACATACCAAAATAAATGAAAAATGAGATGATAAGAGAAGTGATAAGTTGCATGTTGAAGTGAAAGAACAATGAGTAAAAAAATAAGGGAGTAGAGCAGAATGGAAATGTTGCAATACTGAATGAATCAAGGACTGTGTCCAAGTCTGATACCCGTTACCTATTTGTAGGAGTAAGGAAAGTCACACGAAACTGGACTTATTTTTTTCGATATAAATTTGTGTACACTTACCGGCTTCACAGTATCCTCCCTTTTCATGTTTTCTCTTCATTTTACTTTTAATTTTACTAAACAGGGTACCGTACTAGCCGGATTCATTATATCAGGCAGTCTTCCTGCAGCATTTATGGTTATCTTACGCATCGTATATGTCTATACCAATCATTCCAGCAATGAAGTACTATGTCTTTTTCGTTGATTTGCACTGTACCACAACATCACATGATTCACTATGAAAACAACTTTCATGTACTCCAACATATCGAAAAAAAAAAAAAAAAAAAAAGACGATTAACTTGTTGGTGTTATTCATACTACAATTAT